ATTCTTGATTTAATTTCGTTAATTGAATCCGTGGTGTTGTCGTTATGTGTTTGAATGTGTCTGGACATGGTTTTGGGTTCTACGAGTGATCCTGGGACCGAAAAGTTGCCTATGTACCAGTGGGGGGTAGGTGGGGGGATGACCGGCCACCACCTACCCGCTGCCCGGGAGCACTGTTCCAGCGGGCAGCCGGCGGGCGGTGGTCTGCCCGCCGGCCACCCGCTGGAATAGTAGGTGGCTGGCGGGTGGTCTTCCACCCGCCACCTACCCGCTGAAAAGTGACAATGGGTCGTGATGTTTTTCCCCGTTATGACTCGGTACCTTGGGGCCGTTATGACGCACGTTTGGGCTTGGAGTTCGTTGAATTTGGATTAAAAATGAGCATGTTATGATAGAAATTGTGATGGAATTGTTTACAATAATATGCAAATGTGATGTATCAGACTTACTGCTGTGATTAAGTGTTGTTAGAAAAACATGACTAAAGTGTGTATTATGTTTCATGGAAGTTGTAGTCTGGTTATAATGGTGGAAATGTACAGAGTATGTTGTTTAGCAATTCAAAGCATGATTGTGTGTTCTTTGAGAGTTCACAGTGATATATAGAATTGGAGCATGTGTTCAGTAAATTACATTCCAAGCATTTCATGTTTTAATAGTGCATATGGCCAACGTGAGCCTCGTATTATTTTCTAAAACTCATGAGCATGTGAAATGTCATTTCCTTGTTGCATTGAGAACGTGTTGAGAAGTGACTTGCATATAAGTACATAAGTAGAAGAATTGCATTATATATATATATATATATATATATATATATATATATATATATATATATATATATATATATATATATATTATAAGTGAGGTTTTGGAGGACCCATTGGGACTATGTTCTTTCGGATGATGATGACCGGACATTGAGATCCGATGTTTTGTAACGCGGTGTATTCCCACGAGGTTGGAAACTGTCCGCCAGGCTTGGAATCCTAGTCAGGGGGTATGCACGCTGAAAGTTCGATACCTGATTCCACAGAGTTGAGAATAGAATCAAGAGAGTGGTTCGGTGGATGAGATTGAGCATAAGTCGGCTAGAGGTCATACCCGGATAAGTTCGTTCACGCTATGGTGAAGTTCCTACCTCATCCATTTGTTAAGAAAGCGAGTCATTGCGACTCTAAGAAAGCGAGTCATTGCAACTCTAAGAAAGAAAGAGCAAGCGAGTCCTTGTGGCTCTAAGAAACCTCCACAGAAAAGTATTCTATTTACAGACGAGAGTATATGTATATGTATTCTATAGCTCCTTATTGCATTGGATAATGTTTGCACAAGTTTGCATATCGAGGAGGATTGCATTAGATTACATACTGATATTTGATTGCACAAGTTTGCACGATATGCTTACAATAGACTATATGTTGGATACTTGATTGCACTTCATTACATGTTGAGAATTTGATACCATGAGATGGTTTGTTAAGTTTATGTGTTGGCATTAGATTGTTATTGAGTTGTTATATAGAATTGAGATTGCTATGTTAAGTATTCAATAGTACGAGCATGATGATAGTTTTGATTTCGTTGAAGTATGCCTATTTGATCATTTAGGTTGTAAGCATATAGAAAGGTTTATGGTTTATATTAAAGTTTTGTCTAAGTGATTGAGATTGCTTAATTTGGGAATGTGAATCAAATGTTTTTCCAAAGTATATATTGTAGTACTTTCCAGGGTTGAGTATGGTTATACTTAGCTTCGTGCTAACAGATGTTTTCTACTTGTCTACTTGTTGTTTTGCAAAACCCCTTTTCAGGTGGGCCCAGCGTTTAAGAGTTGTTCGAGTTAGACTAGTGTAGTTGATCTAGTAGTCTAAACTCTGTTTATTCTATGATGTTTTGGATTATGGTTGTAGACTCTTTCCTTTTTGTTTGGTGATAGACACCGGGGTACTTTTCCCCCACGTTAACTTAATGTAGAAGTTTTCAAATTTGTTAGTTCCTTTAGCCTGTGCAGTCATCGTGCGTGTGACTGTGGCGGTGACATCCCTTTTGTCTAATGTTTAGTATTTAATGTGATGGATTAGTTATGATATTTGAGCTTTGTACTTAATTAAAAAGGATTAGAAAATTGGGGTGTATGCTCACTCGTGTGTTGAATGATGACAGCCCTCATTTTCGGCTTCATCGTTCCAGTCCTTCCTATTCCTTTTTGCGTGTTTTTGGGTGTCTTTGTTATCCTCTCTTGCGTCCTTATAATCGCAATAAGTTGTAGTTTCGGTCCACTCCCTGTGTATTTCTTGGTTATTCGTCCTCGTTTCGTGGCTATCGTTGTTTGGATCTGTCACTGCCACTGCCAACACGCACACTACAACACCCCATGAGCGTGTTCCGGCTGAGACCAGTGAATTACCGGATGTCGTGGTTGTCTCACAAGCTTCTAGTTCTCGCACAGTGTCTAACTCCGTTCCAGTTGATATGGCGGTGGTCGGGCAGCCTGCTCGCTCCTCGGCGTCGTGCGCCCAAACCGGTTCTTCCTCGGTCGCATGTGATCGCCACTCGCAGTATGGGGCCAACTGAGCATGTGGCATTGCTATTTGCTGCGGATGTGCCTGAACCGACGTGCTATTCTCAGGCGGTGCAATATCCTAAGCAGGGTTGTAAAAATCCCGCCTAGGCACCGAGTAATCGGCACCTAGGCGCTAGGCGCCCCTTGGCCGTGGCGATTTTCCCCCTAGGCGCCCGCCTAGGAAACCGGCCGCCTAGCGCCTAACTCGACCGATTACACCGAGTTAACTCGTCAATTTCTGTCGAGTTAGCCGAGTTAACCCAGCCGACTTGACCTTGCTAACTTTTTTCATTTATATATATATATATATATATATATATATATATATATATATATATATATATATATATATATATATATATAATATGACATATATGCACCTATACACGTGCACTGTTTCTCTTTTTTTTTTAGTTAGCCGCCTAGCCCGCTTAGGCCCCGCCTAGGCCGTCTAGGCGCTAGGCGCTACTCTACCGCCCGACTAGCGCCTAGCGCCTATTGCAACCATGATCCTAAGTGGCGTGAGGCCATGGATTTGGAGTTCAATGCCTTACTCTAGAATAACACTTGGCGTTTGGTTCCTTGCACTCCGGGTATGAATGTTGTAGGTTGCAAATGGGTCTTCAGGACAAAGCGCAAGGCGAATGGTTCGATAGAGAGGCATAAGGCTCAGTTGGTTCCTAAAGGGTTTAACCAGGTTGCTGGACAGGATTTTTTTGTGACTTTTAGTCCGGTGGTTAAACCGACTACGATTCGACTTCTTTTGTCCTTGGCTGTTTCTTGTGGTTGGACTATCCGGCAGTTTGATGTTCACAACGCTTTTCTAAATGGTAATCTTGCTGAGACGATTTACATGAAGCAGCCACCGAGTTATGAGGACAAGTTATTAAAATGGCGCACTTGTGGGGGAAGGCTTCCTGTGTGGTTATACGGTTGATGCACCTTAAGCATTAAAATGTCGCACCTTAAGTACACAAACCAGACACCTTAATCACATAAACAAAGCACCTTAAGAACACAAACCACTCATCTTAAGCACACAAACCACGCACCTTAAGTACACAACAAAGCACCTTAAGAACATAAATCACGCACCTAAGGTTTTAAAATGACACACTACCTTAAGTTTTGCACAACTGACGCACCTTTCAAGTTTCAACCAGGGTTGGATTTTGAGCTACACAGGGCCTCAAATTTTAGGGGGCTCAATATTTAATTTTTACCTATCTAGTTAAGACATTAAAACAAAGTGAAATAACAATTAATCTTAAAAGACTATGTAGAAATGGTAGAAATGCGTTTCTATGGTGTTTCATCTTGTTGGGTTCAAACCCTATCTGCTCAACTTTAGTGCACATCTTCCCTTTTTTATCCTTTTGCTTATTTATTTATTATATTCTTTGCATACAACATTATTATTATTATTATTATTATTACCATTATTTTTATTTTTTTATATTATTGTTGTTATAATTGTAATTTATTCTATAATATGTCTTTTGTCTTTCTCTTTCAGCAAAAAATTTTGATATTGGTTTTAAAGATTGCGCTTTTGGTACGGCTTCATTTATTTATAAGAACAGAGCCACAAAAATCTAAAAATCGGCCTTGGTTTCAACAATTACTCACATTAGCACACAACTCACGCACCTTAAGCACAAACCCCACGTACCTTAAACACAAAAGTAACGTACCTTAAACACAAAAGTACAAAATGCGCACCTTAAGCACAAAATTCACGTACCTTAAATTTGGCCTAGATGCAAAAATTATCAAATTGTCACCGTGTTTTTTTTTTAAAAAATTTTGGTAACCCTGGACGTTGAATTAAGCAAAATCAGTGACTCAAATTTAACCACAGAACTGCACCTGGGCGCACCAACCGTATTTGAACCTAATTCCACACACACACCACAAAACGCAACACAACACACACAACACACACACACACACACAAAACGCAACACACACCCAAAAAATGCACCATACATCCCCCACCTAATTATGCATGTCCGAACACTATGTGGTGCGTTTATGCATACCTAATGGAGTGTTTTTTGATACATTGTTGCATTTTTTTGTTGTGCATTTCCTAACACTATTGGTGCATGTTTGCATAACTAATGGTGCTTCTGCACTGACCGCACATTAAAGCCTAGCCGCACTAGAACTAGGTCCTATATATATACCTAATTACCTGAAGCATTCTATTTAATGGCATCCTTTCCTTACTGTTTTTGTGTTGTTTGTAAATACACAATTTTGGACTGTTTTAAGAAGATGTCAGTTAATTTTTAAGAGGTTAACTCTTCTTCTTTCTTTTTTTTTTTTTTTTTTTTTTTTTTTTTTTTTAAATATCATGTAATTTAAATTAGCAGAAAATTTACATGTCAGCATGTATGCATGGATTGAAATTCTAGGTGACAAGTAAAGAAACTTGGAGAATATGTATGCTGTATTGATTTCCTTGGAAAAATTATAGGTTTCTATAAAAAATGAGTAACCTGCTACTTACATTTATAATGGATTTTACCACTACAAACATCCTCTTCATGATCTGAAATAATCTCCTCTTTGCAACTATTGCTGTGAAAGAAAGGCAGCCCTAAAGAATGTCCTCTATGTTGCAGGAAATAGCATTGTACCTGAGATCGTGAGCCTAAATTACCTAACAGCTGCAACCTTTTCCTGTTGTTCTTCGCCCTTTATTTGGCGCTTGCGTTGCCTGGATCTTGCGTTCTTAGTTTCCTTGCTCGATAAAAGCTTCAACGCTATTTCCAGTGTTACGTCTTTTGGCTTCAAGTCCTGTACTTGACATTTTATACAATAATTCTAAATGTAATTCTAAATGCCAATGTAATTCTATGAAAAGCAAGAACCAATTTTTAAATGAACCATGAGGCACACATACAAGTAAACAGTGAAGAATGTGCATAAACGTGTACCTTTGGTGTGGGAGCAGTTGTGTTCCCGTGTCTTATCGTAAATCGATCCTTTTCAAGTTTTAGTACGACCTCGAGCCCATCAGCTGGATGGTTTCCCTATACATATCCGGTTTTCATGAATTCAAAGAACATTTAGATAGAAATTTAACAATTGAAAGGCTGTTGAATAATCACCAAAGTTACAGGGTACTGCAACGACTCTGAGGAATCTTCCAAGGTTACTGAGCTCACATCCTTTCCCTAAAAGAAATCGAATATTGCAAATTCAGTGATACTGAGGGTTCTACATAAACAATACGGAGTATCCTATATGCAATTATAACAGCGTGAGAAGGGCAGTTGGATTGAATGTCTCCTATGTAACTATGTTGGATAGAAATGACTCAGTTTCTACGACTGTGAACCTATTATACCTCATCAGCTTCGACAACCTTTCCTTTGGTCTTGGGTCGCCCACACTTCCTCACATTCTTACTTAACAAAAGCTTCAAAGCTTTTTCCAGAGTTACATCTTTGGGATTCAAGTTCTGATGCCACATTTACATTAAAGAATTAGTATGTATCCAAACTGACGTAGTATAGAAACCAAGGCTGAGAATATATAGCATTAATAAGCAAACAAAATGCATCAGTGAATAGCAAGGAACATCAACATATATGGTACACAGAATTTGACTTAGCATATACCTTCGGTACCGGAGCAATTGTGCGCCTATGTCTGATAGTAAACCCAAACTTTGCAATTTTTATTAGAACATCTTGGCCATCATCTGGATGTTTTCCCTATATATATATCCCATTTTAAAAAATCTAGTGAACATTCAGAAATTAATCAAGAAAAAAGTGAAAGGTTGTTGAACACACACCAAAGTCACAGGGTAGCGCAGCAACTCCAGGGCATCATCCAAGGTTACTGAGCTCACATCCTTTACCTGAGCCAAAGTGTATTGCAAAGTCAATGATACTACAAAAGAGTTATAATTGAACATTTCAGATATATGCATATGACTCATGTATCAACATATTATGATGCTAATAAATAATAGTGAATCAAGAATATTGCGGTATCCCATTGTAAGTGCCAATAGTTAGAGTTGTAAGTTGCTAATGCGTTAGCTCACATACTTGGGATAGTGATGCTCGCTTGGGGATGTGACCAGAACTATCTTCTCCGAGCTGAACATAGTATCCATATGGACCATTCTTAAGGAGAACCTATATGAGTGTGAATAAATATATAAGAAACAAGACTGAGCATAAAATGGAAGTAATAAGTAAATTAATCCATACTGCTGAGAAGAAAAACCTTTTCATTTGAAGATGGATGGACACCCAGCAAAGTTGGCTCATCCATATTATTCGTATTGTCTTCTGATGCAGTGTCTTCATCCTGCTCACCATACAATGTCTTTGCAATGTACCTGAAATAAGCTTACAGGTCATTCACCAACCAAAAACAATAACAGTTCAGTAGCAAATTGCTTACATTAAAAACTAGTACTCCGTAAAACTTTAGTGCAATCGCATTTGAGCAGAAAGAGAAGAATCCACAGTGGGATTTAATTCTTCTAGTTCTAGTTATTCTCATACAAGTGAAAGTAGCCTTTCCAACCCAAAAAGAGGCCAACAACAAGGGGCCAACATTAACATAGCATTCATTTAATGAAAGATAAAAGAGAATGGAAAATGCATGGAATTATGTATTACAACTTTACAAGTAAAAATGTGAGCCTAGGCAGACAAATAATATCTATAAGCACTGGCTGAAAAACATATGAAAACATTAGCTGATACTCACTTGCACTTTGGGTGTTGATCACATCCTATAAAATAGCCTGCACCAAATCTGCTGACTTTAAATATTAAAGTTCCTTCCTGACATCTAGGGCATGTCCTAGATCCGTGTGGAAGAGATGCAAACAAAAAGTCACCATATGTTTTCTCCAACATCTTCTCCACCTGATGGATGTGAACATTTTTTACATGTTCACAATATTTATTAAATCTTGACCAATAATCTTTTAACAGGCCTTTCCATTCAGTCAATCCAGCAGACACATTATCGAGTTCAGTCTCCATATCGGCTGTGAAACTATAATCTGCCACTTCAGAAAAATAATGTGAAAGAAATGCTGACACCATACGGCCTCGAAATTCAGGATGTAGTACCCTGCTTTTTACTGTCACGTAATTTCTATCCATTAACACTTTGATTGTGGATGCATAGGTAGAAGGTCTTCCAATACCAAGTTCCTCCATCTTCTTAACCAAGCTCCCCTCAGAGTAGCGTGGTGGAGGCTGAGTATGATGTTGCTTTAGCTCAGTTTTACCTAGAAACACTGGATCCTTTGAGTTCAAATTACTAAGAACCTCAAACATTTCAGTACGGTAATCCTCCCCATTCTCATCCTTCTGTATTGAATTAGTTTCTTGGTCCTCATAAACAGCCTCATAACCTTGAAACTCAACCTTTGAGCATGCAGAACGGAAAATAATAGATTGATCTGATTTCCCAATATCGAGTTGTATCTGATCTATGACAGCAGGTTCCATTTGGCATGCCAATGCACGTGACCATATGAGTGTGTATAACTTCAAGGAATCATCATCTATTACCCCAAGAAGCATCGAAGGAAGCCTACAAATATCAGTGGGTCTAATAGCTTCATGGGCCTCTTGAGCATTCTTCACCTTCCTAAAGTATGTACGAGGACTCATAGATGCAAAATTCTGTCCATATCGTTCCCTAACAAAGGATTGAATGCCTTTTGCAGCTTCATCTGAAATATGTAATCCATCAGTTCTTATATAAGTTATTAACCCTGTTGCCTTCCCATCAGACAACTGGACACCTTCATACAACTTCTGTGCTAGCCTCATTGTATAAGTTGATGTGAAACCCAGTCTGTTAGCAGCATCTTGCTGGAGTGTTGATGTTATATGTGGAGGAGGCGGGTTTTTCTGCCTTTTGGATCTCTTAGAACTAAGAACTTCAAACACGGATGAATTGATCTTCTGTTCAATGCCCTTTGCCTCTGTGTTGGAACGTATTGAAAGCTGATTTAGCTTTTGAGAATCAAAATGTGTCAAATGTGATGAGAAATAGACATTGTTAGCTGAACTTGAATTGTCCCTTTTACTGAATTCAACTTGAACTGTCCAGTATTCCTGGGGCACAAATTTGTCAATTTCCATTTCCCTATCACATATTAGAGCAATAGCAGCAGATTGCACCCGACCAGCTGATTGGCAGCCAGGAAGTTTCCTCCATAGCAATGGAGAGATGTTGAATCCAAGCAAGTAATCAAGGGCACGTCGTGCAAGATAAGCATTTACTAAATTCCCATCAATCTCTCTTGGAGCCTGGAGGGCATTTTTTATGGATGATTCAGTTATTTCATTGAAAACAACCCTAGCCACTGTAATATCATCATGTAAAGCATCCTGTTGCTGCAACATCTCTATAATGTGCCAAGCAATAGCTTCTCCCTCACGGTCAGGATCTGAAGCAAGAACAATATTCTTGGAGCTGAGAAAACAGGGGGGGAATATATGAGATAAAGAATAAAGCATTAGTTATAAACACAACTAAGATAAGGTCATTATATGATGCTGGAGAAATAAAAGTGTGATAAAGAGGAACTTTAGAAGCAGAATAAGTACTTAACGCTTAATACATATCATACCCACTTAATGCAACTTTGATAGCAGTAAGGTGGGTCCATGCAGCTGGAGGAACTTCCCACACCATACTGAAGTCATCATCGGGTCGCACAGACCCTGACCTGGCAGCCAAGTCCCTGATATGGCCATAACTAGGCAGGACTTCAAACATGTCCCCAAGATATCCTTGAATAATTTTTGCTTTAGTGACAGACTCAACCACTAAAACGGATTTATTGGTGGGTGGATATAATTTTGGCAATGTTTTTTGAACCTGAGGCTTGGTTTTGCTGCCCATGTTTAAACTTTGGTTTTGTTGCAAGTTACTAGATGAAAAATCCATTGCCTTGTCTGATCCTTCAAGAACATTGGCATCCTTATTTGACTTTCCCTTTCTGCGATTGTTTTTCTTGGACTGGATGGATTGTTGCTTTGCCAAGACATTACCATCAGACACTTCTGTAGATGAATTGACGGTAGAACTAATCTGGAAAACTGTAAAGTAAGTCATTGTATTTCATTAACACAATCAAGATTTGTATACTCCTTAATGAGATGTTACTAACCTCTGAAGTGGCAGGAGATTGTCTCTTTTTTGTAGTCCGCGTCCTCTGTTGTGGAACCTCCTCATTACCATCAGCAGATTCACCATTATTCTTTTTGCTTCTCAATTTTCGCTTCACTTTCCCTTTAGTTATGGATGATTCCTTATCACTAGCAGGCAAACTTGATATTTCTAGATTCACATCCTTATTGTTAACCTCATGAGGACTATGGCCATTAACCCTGTATGATACTGCCACTTTAGGGGAATGAGAAAAGGACCGGGAACCTAATCTACCCAATGAAACAGAATTGATGGAAGCTTCATTACTGGGTAAAACCATTCTAAGGTTTGGCAGGGCAGTGAAAAACAATTTTTGGTCAGACTTTATGGCAAAAGCTCTTCGCGGGATTGCCCTGGACACCAAACATATCCTTGCTTGCCGATGCAGTGTCTCCATTTTCCTGATACTTCCAAACGCTGGACATTGTAAATGAGCTGCGGAATAATTCTGAAATGCCTTGTTCTGCAACTTAAAGCAAAACAAATATTGACTGCAGTGTTGAAGCAAAATAAATACAAACACAGAACACATGGTTATCAACATTCCAATGGATCTAAACATTACAAACAAGTTACATATTCATATTTACAAGGTAAACGAAATAACGTATTTCCATTCTCAAGTTGAAACAATCATTTCTAATCCAAACTTATCAGTTCTAATGGATTACAAACAAGTTAAATATTCATATTTACAAACTAAACGAGATAACGTATCTCCATTCTCAAGTCAAAACAATCATTTCTAATCCAAACTTATCAGTTCTCCAATTCAGCTCATTCCATTTTCTCAAATTTGAATTCACTTACCATAATAATGGAGAGGCAGCTACTAGTGGCGTTGGTGAATAGTTGTTGAACTAGCGCCATTTGAGAGTTACAGCTTTTACTCTCAATACTTTTCAATGAAAAGAGTCCATCGCCGGACTCAACATAGTCCCATGTGAGCTCAGAGCTTCTCCGGCACTATAAATGAAGCTGTGAAAATCCGGAAACAAATTCAAATTAAAAATGAAAAACAAATGGTATTTCAGTTAGGGGTGAGCAAGGAGAAAGCAGTGTGGCTGTGAGTAGTACTGTCAAAGCGGGCCGGCCCACCAGGCCCGCGGGCTAGGGTTCATGCAAAGCATGAAGCACATATGCAATTATAAATGTATAGTACGTTACTGTATTTACTTCTGAGTTCTATGGACTTTGATGCTTCTTTTATTTGTGAACTGTATATGTTGAACATCTCACTGTGTTTTGTTTTATGGAAAGTAGTTCTCAGTCCAAAGTTAATATATGGAATGTAGTTCTCAGTCTAAAGTTAATAATGACTTAATATGGTTTTACACATTACTATATCATATAATGACTTAATATAGTCTATATGTACAACTATACAGGCAAAGATAATAGCTTATCAGCAAAAGAGCGAAGTAAACAAGTTAATAATCAATTAATTGTTTCAGTTATAGATTCTTTTAATTATTACCATTAACTTAAGAGGTGATAGTAGTTGGCTCTTACCTTGCAACTAGAGACCTTAAATCCATCATCAGCTAATGTAATGCCAATATGTTTGAAAAAGCAAACAATTGAGGCAATCAGCTCTGCTTCAGCCTATAATATAACACAAGAAAAATAGTTAAAGTTATACATTAAACAAAAATAACACATGTTGGCCTGCTGTATCAATTTCAGGTGTTATCACTTTTTTTTCGTAAAGATTATATGAAACAATTTAGCATCAAATTACCCTTTCTTTATTACGAGTTCTTCCAGTGAAGCAGTAAGTTCAGGTCTCAATGCAACTCTAACTGTTTCCTCTATAACCAACCGAAACAAATTCAAATTAAAAAAGGAAAACAAATGGTATTTCAGTTAGAGGTGAGCAAACAGTCACTCGGTTACATAACCAACCGAAAAACCGAAGGGAATTTTTAACACCTACCAAAGTAAATGCTATAACAGCCCGAAAACCAACCGTTGGTTTCGGCCGGTTATGTTGGTTACCGAAAGATTAACAAATTATTCTACAATTAATAACTAAAAATTCTAATGTGCAATTAGGGGTGAGCAAACGGTCAGTCGATTGACGGTTGGTTTCATTAGGTTATGTGGGTTACAGAAAAAAATAATAATAATAATAATAAATAATTCCAAAACAAATAATTAAAATTCTAATTTGCACTCCTACTGCGTAATTCCAAATCCAAAAGAAATAAGTAGACAAAATGTTTTAAACCCAGTGTCCAGTATAGATTAATATGTTTTGAATTGAATGATGATAGAACCATTGTCCAGTACCCAGGATTAGAAACAATGTAGAGCTGTCATGAATTTAAACTTACAGTGATGATAGTTTTAAGATTAATTATGTTTTAACAATGCTAAAAATACATGAAATGGAGTAAAATGAGTAGTAGCAAGCTAGGAGCAGTCAGCAGAAGCAGAAATAGTAGTAAAGTCAAAAAATGAAACTAAAGACAAATATAATTAAACTAAACATGAACGGAGAGAATCAGAGACTTCATTGCTAAAGACAAATAATTAAACTAACCAAATATGTTAAACATTTAACTTGATTCCTTGAAGACGAGTGGACTGGACGAAGAAACGGAGGAGTTGGCGAGTTGCGGTGGCTGAGTGGGTAGTGAGGTCTGAGGATGTGAGGAGAGAGGGCGTGAGGCGGTAGAGGCGAGGGAGAAAGCAGTGTAGCGTGAGTGAGAGGCGAGAGATGAGGACTGAGGAGTGGGCTATTGTCGGAGACGGAGAGACGGGACGGAGAAGCGGAGAAGGCTAGGGCTATTCTGTATTGAGTTTTATTGGGCTCAATTTTAATTTGTTATGGGCTATTCGCAGACTAGCAGCAGCACTATTATTTTGGGCTATATATATATATATATATATATATATATATATATATATATATATATATATATATATATATATATATATAGGATTTGGATCCAATGAAACTCAATCGTTATATCGTGCACCAGGATGCATAATGCATTGTGCGTCTCGTCCTCCTAAAACGACGTCGTTTTGTTAAGTTGTGTGGGGAGTTGACGCGACAAAGTTTATATGTATTCTGTTATACAATTTTGTATATTCTAGTATACAATTATGTATATTTTATTATATAACTATGTACATTTGAAACATGAGATTTTTTTAAGAGTTAAGAGTTTCTGTGTATTGTGTTAAGAGTTTATACGTATTATGTTAAGAGTTTATGTGTATGTTAGATGTTTGATTATGTGTATTATCCTTTCAAAAAAGTGTATGTGCATTTGAAACATGAGATTTTTTTAAGAGTTAAGAGTTTCTGTGTATTATGTTAAGAGTTTATACGTATTATGTTAAGAGTTTATGTGTATGTTAGATGTTTGATTATGTGTATTATCCTTTCAAAAAAGTGTATGTGTATTCTGTTATACAATTATGTACATTCTATTATACAATTATGTACATTCAAAACATGAGATTTTTTTTCTTTTTAAGAAGTTAACAGCGGACATTTGGCGTGTGCAAAAGTATGAATGTATTATTTTCTTGAATGTGGTACTCTTTTTGGAATGTGCGTCTGGTCTTGATGATTTGTGCAACTGTGTTTGGGTGTACTATGTCCGTAATGGGGATTGGGGGTTTTAAGTAATTGCAGTGAGCGCGCGGATGGTCAGGGTAGTCGAAAATATTTAACAAAATAATTCCATATGTGCCTCATTTTTTATCTTCTTTATTTTATTTTTTCCTATATATACAAATTCGTGTGCATTAGTGAATGAGTTCACAATTTAAGCACAAACAAAACTAACACGAGTACACACCTTTAAACTCATCACAATACATATGCACACACACAATAACACATGTATGCACAAACAAACTCAAAGACAATAACAAGAGACAACGACTTGACACAAATAACGACATGTACACTAACAAATCAATGTTGCACACAATGCCCGATTCAGTGCACACTACAACCAAGATACTTGGATTAAATGTGCATATTAAAATAGAAGCGTACACACAATCTAGAATGCACAAAGAACTACAATGTAGTAAACACATACTGCATCCCTAAACCCCCACTCAAAACTTACTAATTAAAAAATTACTATTAATAGAAACTTACCATAAATAGAATTTTTTATAATTAGCAAGTTTTAAGCGGTAAAAACGAGGTGTTACACTATACAAGAGTGCACACTGATGAAATATAAAGTGCACACGTATGAAATTGGAAGCATACAATCCTATTAAAAAAAATACAATCATACTAAAAAAAATACCTCTTAAAATTGTGCATAACATTCACAAATAATAATACCATAAAATGCACACAAAATTTACTAATTCACCATTATATATGTTAATAAATAGTACAACAAATCTTAAAAAATTAGGACCAACCATGGACCAAAGACCTATATTAATCTTTAATTTTCATGTGGGGAGGAATTCTTATGTGATCATTATATACACACACAACATACACTCTAGCCATTTAAATGATATTTTCTCTTTCTCGAGGAAAAAAAAAACTTTGAATGTAGTGAAGGTGCAATATGTATAATAAAATTAAGAATAATACTACAATATTCTTATTTTTTTACTCTATTTTTTACCCTATACTTAAGTGATACGCTTTGTTCATCTAAAAAGCACCGGTCACAATTTTTATTTTATTCATCTTTTTTATTGTTTCTGTCTACTATATTATATTAATAAAAGTCAATAAAGTTAGGTCTATAATATGAACTAAAAAAATGTCCATCAAATTATTTGATGAAATGACTAATTTAGATTATTTTGATTTTAGTTTTTTTAAAAAAATTCTACTTTACCCTCTATTATATTATTTTCTTCCCTTAAATACCCATGTGTTCTGCTAACTATTTATTATTTTTAATTTACTCATTGATTTCTATAAAAAATGTCTTAGGTCCGAATCCCATTCCAATCAGAGTTATCAAAATTGTTGAACATGTACTATGAATATGTTAGAGTGTATTAAAAATACAATATAAAACTTAAGATAAACTTTTGTCAAATAATTAGCCCAAATAGATACATACCATTCAAAGTTGAACATCAAAAATTACAAATAAGTAACCTTGAAACTTATTTTCTTGCATTTTTCTTATTAAAAAAAATTTAGTTAAGGTTTTTTTTTTTTGTTTAATTAATTTTCTTTTGATTATTTGAAAAAAGACACAATATTTCAATTATGTTTTTTCGTTATTGGGAATGATTTAGGTCATTATGGTATTATTTTTTTTGTTTATATTTTTATAATGGTACAATTGTACATTACTTTATAAACATTGTATTATTATTTTTTATTGGACAAAATTATTCTTATATCATTGTCAGACTTACACGATCTAACTACAAAGTTGTTGATTAGAAATATAACTGCACCTGGACTTTAAACGGTATGACCATTGTCCAAACAATTGACAAAGTTGACACCCACTGCTTCCAATTGAACAAGTTTACACATCATTTCCAGAATGTTATCAATGCATGGAAATATCTAAAGAAATTTGTAAGTTAATTTTTTTTACTATATCATTATAACAATATCTATTGTAACCATATATTTTGAATTATTTATCATCATCCTCTATTGCAAACAATTGTAGTAATTGTCATTGGCAAACTCCCAAAACAATTTGTCTCAACAACTAATGGAAATAAATAAATAAATAAATAAATAAATAAAACAATGACTTTATTGTTGTGGATGAAAAGTAAGTATCCACTCTATTACTCTTAATAAATTACTAGTTTTGCAGGTTAAGTTTATTTTAACGACTCTAAAAAAAATTGGTTAATGCAGCATTGAACTCTACGACCCATTTAGTTGGTAGAAACAATTTTTTAAGTATAGAAAATTGTAAACACAATTATAAAACAATTGCTGGTTTGCCCGAGAAGTTAAGGGGGAAGACTTAAGATCTTCTGCACATAAGTGCGCATGGGTTCAAACCCCATAGCCAGCAAGAGATTGATCATAATTGTCATTACATTAAAATATAAATAAATATTTGTAATAACGTTAGTTTAAATACATATTATTTTTTGTTTGAATTTCTCTAAGTCTTCTTAATTCTCTTTCGGGTAGCATTGTCATTGTCTTCATCTTCAGTACTCATTAAAATAAATGTTTGCAACTGTGTAATAATGTTAGTCTAAATAAATACTACTTTTGGTTTGAATTTCTCTAAGTATTCTTAATTCTCTTTTGGGTAACATTGTCAGTGTCTTCATCTTCAGTACTAGTACTCTTCTTTTTTTTATTGGTAGTGTGTCATGTGCAATTGGGTTACTGGTACTAGCATATAGGGCAACGTCATGCAATGAAATTATGGTGTAGGAAGTTTTAGATTTGTCTTGCTGTGTATGTGAGCATTGTCAATTCTTTGGACAATGGTCCTACCGTTTAGAGACCATGTGTAGTGTATTTCTGATCAACAACTTTGTAGTTAGGTCGCACAGGTCTGACAATGATATGATGTAAGAACAATTTTGTCTGTTAAAAAAAATAATAGTACAATATTTGTAAAGTAATGTACAATTATGCCATTATAGAAATACATACAAAAAAAATATATTAATACAATAATGACTTGAATCGTTCCAATAATGCAAAAGCATAATTGAAATATTAAGTCTTGTTCTAAATAATCAAAAGAATATTAATTAAAAAAAAACTTAACATAAATTTTTTATTTAAAAAATACAAGAAAATGATTTTCAATGTTCTGAATGATATGTACTTAGTCGGGCTAATTATTTGACCAAAATTTATGTTAAATTATATATTGTATTTTTAAAAAACAAAATACATTTTGACATATTCGTAGTACATGTTTAACAATTATGCCAACTCTGATTAGGATGAGGTTCGAACCTAAGCACGTTCTTATAAAAATTAATGAGTAAGTTAAGAATAATAAATAGTTAACGGAATATCCCATTACTAAAGTTTATAGTAACGGAATGCAATGTTATTTAATGAAAGAAAATAATATAATAGAGAGTAAAGAAGGAAAATAAGGCAAAAATAGTGAAATCAAAATAATATGAACCATTCATTTCAACAAACAATTACACCAAAATTTTTTTGTTTCTATTAAAGGCATAATTTTATTGGATGTTATTAGATTTGTAGATGTACAAATAAATTAGTAGTTACAACTAAAAATAATATATATATATATATATATATATATATATATATATATATATATATATATATATATATATATATATATGCATTTCTTTAATTTAGAATTAAATGTCTATAATTTCTTTATTCAAAATAAATAAATAAATAAATTATTCATTATCAAATATATATATATATATATATATATATATATATATATATATATATATATAATTTCATTAGTTATATTGTCTATAATGCAAAGATTCATTACCTTCAAATTAATTATTTAATTATATTCATTACATTGTCATTATCTTCTTTTTACACGTTCATGTAATTAAATATCAAAGTTATATTACAAAATAATGTAATGTCATATTAACTACTTAGGGAAGACTTGTGGACAATAAATATGGTATTCAAATAATCCAAGAAATTGAAGTGGAAAACTATCACGTAATATCTCTGGACTACAACACAATTATTCACTTTAAAGGTAAATCGTATTTTTTATTAAAATGATTTAAAATGTATAAAATTTTACTGCCTTATATAATCTTATTCTTTCAATAAACTATAAATTTTTT